CATCAATAGGAATATCGATCTCCCAGATGCCTATCTCACGTTACGCGAGCAATGACAGGGCTCAAGGTCACTCGCGGCAGAGCGAAAAATGGGTACTCAAGGTCACTCCCAGCAGAGCTAATTTAATCACGCAGCGAGCTGTACGTTTTCATCCCTTGACAATGGCCTCGAGTGAGAGTCCAAAACGTCGGGCAAATAAAATACTGGTCCCAGAGAGCGTCCTTCCGGCTTCTACTAATAAAACTATGATTCCGGTGATCGACACAGCTTCTTCTTCTTAATTAAAAACAATGTATCGGATGCATTAAACCCATACCCTTTATGATGAATTTGGCAGGCTTGCGACCTTTCAAAATAACGATTACTGTCCTCAAGGTTATATCTTCTAACTATTACTAACAATGCTGACCTGGACTTATGCGGACATCCGGTTCGCTTACTGGTTCCAGCCTCCTGAATGACGGAGCATATCCGTTCATTCTAAGTAAAATGGAGGTTTATTTTTGGGTTCTGTCCTTTCCTCCTGTCCAACTTAACTTCTAGCAGGCCGACTTCCTTTTTCACATTCGCTTGAAGTAATTATGTTATTGTTTTGTTTTTCATATTTAGTCCCTCTCACCATATCTTGTTGAAAATTGAGGCCCAATGCGAATCAGGGCTCATAGTTCCATCTGTAGAAAACTTAAGGAAAAAACGTAAACAATTATGGAAACTGAGCAAAGTATTTGGCATAGGGAAACTTCATTAGCATAACATTCAACTGAGTTTCAACATATCTTGGCAGCAAAAACTCGCGTTTAAATGCACAAATATATGTAGACGCCATTCGACTCTTGTTGTCACCCATTAGAGGCAATTAATGAAATTGATTGAGGTAAGAGCCTCAGCACGGTAGTAAAATAATCAAAAGATCCGCATTGAGTGCAAACTCTACTTCCTTTGCGGACCGAAATAACCCATTTTTCTGTGGAATGTAATGTTTGACAGAAAATAAAATCCTTTCTGGAAAACATTGGTAACTGATTACATGGTTAAGTTATGATTGCTAATCGAAAAATTTCCAGACGCTGTGTTTACTTTAAATAATGTTCATGAAATCCATTTATCAAAAGTATTCTGGTTAAAATATGAATGTGGAGGAATAAGTGACAAAATGGTTAATCTAAACGAGCAGAAATAATTTTAATCAAAAGTGAAGTGTAATTATTCTCCGTGATAACAATCCACCATTATTTGAAACAAAACAAGTAAACCACTTAGTGTGTAAAAAAGGTAGGCTATAAACAACTCTAGTAATATGCCAATCGACGTACCTGGGAATTGGCGACTGATTTTTAACCGTTCGCAATTGCTCAAATGTAGAAATATTCTTCCCTTTCGCCTCGTTGGTTGCGTGATTTCCATTATTACCATGATAAGACAACTTGGTTAAATGATCGTTAGTTCGTGAAGCTTGTGGTCTAGCATCGGACACCACCACTCCGAAACTGGGCTCAGACGGCCTCGGAGTAACTGGGGTGTACTTCTCCATATTGATCCCGATGCATGGTCTGGTCAGGTCTTCACTCTGCTTTGGTAAGCGTCGCCGCACAACAAATGTGTCAGCATCGTCGCAAACGCTAGATACGCAGGACGTCTTTGCTACAGGAGCTTCGGTGGCCTTGGCATTCATGTCAGTCTTTGTTTTCACTGCGAGCGCGAAACCCCTTTTGGCTTTCAGTTCTGCTACCTCCTGCATCAGGGTCGTCAACTATAAGGCAGTGATCAGTGCATTTAAAGCATGCAAGCGAAATACACGGTAGTCGCCGAAAATCACGCAACATGCCAACGTATGCGAAAGATTGAAAGTCTTTCGCTAATCGGCATTGACTCAGGTTGTGATTATCGTGTAGTCTATTCTGAAGTCATTTCAGACATTATAGCATGCGAGCATGTCGGGATGTTGCGTGATTTTCGGCGACTACTGTAGTTCTTGGCATGAACAGGTCTTATTTTTGCTACTCACCTTTGCTGCGTTTTCTTCCGCTGATGAATTGTACGCCAGTCTGGCCTTGCGTGATCGGCTTCTGTCCGTCGAAAGGCTCCGGTTTTCTGCCAGTATGTTTTCCACTGTTTTTGCCTCGACTTCCTTCCAGGCAATGAGGTCATCTAGTTCACTGAGATTTAGTTCTGGTTTCTCAGCCGGTGAAACCGTGTCCGAATAAATTCTCCTACATACGGACATCTTGGGGGAATAGGCTTCTTTTCTACTGCTGCTGGGTACTGTCATACTGCCATTAAGGCCTTTGAGTGAAAACCATTTGCGCAAACTTGGTCTTTGGTCCAAACCGTGTGACGATCGTAAGCCGGCCGAAGTCCGACCATGAGCTGAGTTGCGTGGGGGAAGTCTTTCGCGAGGCGCGCTCCCGGCTCTGTCTTTAAACTGAGATAGGGAGTCAAAAAGTAGCGGTTAATTAGTTTTTCATCTAGAGGACAACATAGGTCGACTGTCCTTTTTTAAATATGTGCATATATTAGCATATGAATACCAACAGCGTCTCTGAAGTGGATACCACATACGGCGTCCACATGCATAAATCACTATCCTGGTTAATGCAGTTATATCGTGTCTAATAAGTAAAGTCTACCTGTCGGAGTTTCATGCGTTTCGCACAAAAATGATGGTATCAATGAAGGTTTTGAAAATTTCTTTGGAAAATCAAGGAGACAGTCCTTATAAAACATAGAAAGTGAGAAAATAACTTGTTGAAACACCTGTTCAATTATTGGTCCGAGAATTATTTACTCAACAAAATGCATAGCAGGAGTGCGCACAACTGTTTAACACTTGATGATGGGAGACGGAGGTAGAAGAAAACAATCAACCAGCCTCTCTGGAGGTCTTCATTTGCCACAAACACTGCGCTGGCGTAAAAACTAAAGTGTTCAGGAAAGCGACCAGCACTATGCAAGTCCTGAACTTCAACAGCAGCGTTGTTGTGTAAGAGAGCTATACAAACACGGTCAGATAAATTGCAGCGAATGGCTACCCGCGCAATTTTGTCAACCAGTGCATACGCAGACGAGAAAAGAAACCAAATCCAACCGGTCCAAAAGTTTGGCGAGCTCTTTCGTAAGTAAATAATGTATCGGAAGCAGTCAGCAGCTCCCTCATTCCACTTGGAGTTAGAGTTGCACAGACCGGAAGTAACCATCAGGTGCCGGTTCATGAGACCGAAAGACACCCTGTCACGGCAGGAAACGGCTGGATTTGTTTACCGTATTCGGGGCAGTTGTGGACAAAGCAACTACGTCGGAGAAACCGAAATATTTCTCTGGACGCGGATAGCCGAGCACGCAGCAGCGATGAAGAGGAAGGACGCTAACTCCCAGATTAGTGCTTACTTCCTGAGATCTGACTATTTTTTTTAAATTTAAACAAGCTAAACTCCTCGCAAGAGGTGACAACTGCGTCAGCTGTGCGCTGCTAGAGTCATGGTTCTCAAGCCCACAGTCAATCAACAAGCACAACGAACTGCCATTCTCATAATCCGTACTGAGAATTTGTCTGGGCAGGAGAATCAGTCCCGTGGCCGAGCACAGCAGTAACTCCGAAGACAGCAAACACAATTCTCGCGTAATTACCAAGTCCATATCCAAAACAGATGACGAAATCGCGGCCACAAATGACTCTGAATTGGACTGCCGAGTCATCATCGCACCAATTACGGCCTTCAGTAGTGATTACGGAAGCTGCTGATTATAGTGCGTTTGCGTTTGTGTGGCCATTAAGAACCATAAATACTGCGTGATCTGTGCATATATCATCCTTAGCTGTCTAGGTACGTCCTGGTCTGCAATTATCTCTGATGAATGGTTCAACACAAACTCCGAAATTTCGAACAAATAAACTTCTTGTTCCGGCATCTTCTTATTCAAAATTTTTAACACAAGGGACTTGATACGACATCTTCTGTTCCGTAAAAAAATGCTTAAATTACTACCTACATATAGAAAGAATGATAAAAATTAGCTGGGTAACTTGACAACAATACAGCGCACTCCCAAACTAATTCCTGGATAAATACCTCAGGGCTCCTTACTGAAAAAAAATTTATTGTACACAATTGGTGTCTGAATGAATTATATGTTTCCAGTTTTGTACGCCTAATTCGAGGATATTATTCGGTTCTTACGGTAACGCCAGTATTTTCTCCCACGTAAACGGTGGTTATAGGGGTTATATCAGTGTGGAATTAGAATAAGAAGTGGAATATACTTTAATAACTGCTATATGCCTTTTTTATTTTATTTCTTTATTTATTGTTTTATTTATTTATCGTTGTTGATTTATATCTGTAGATTCTCCTAATCTGTATTATCGTTTAAGGTAATGTAGAAAACCCCGATTATCAAAACACAGGTTTCTTGAAATTCCTAAAGAAATAGAAATAGTGTTTAGGAGGTCATCTACCTCAACTTAACTGAGGTCGAACTTACCGTTCTGGAGTGAGATTATTATAGTCCGCGGCGTGAGGCGCCGGGCACACCTTCAACTTACATGCGAGAGCCGAATTCAACTATATGTTTACACCTTACACTTACTTCTGCAAATTTCCTTCATTGTCTATCCTATTTCCTACCCTAAACCCCTATAACCACAATTTTCGTAGAAAAAAAATGTTGGGACTAGGGGTATATGAGGTAGAGGACTTAATCTACCTTTCCCATTCTTACAAATGTTTAGTGCAAAAAGGTTATATAAGACGGTTGGAGACAATCTTTGATCGTTTAATCTAAAATTAGGAAGTACGACCTGCTTTGGAGGTAATGTCCTGCAAACGATATATTTGTTGAAAAAACTCTAACCTGTTTTAGATTTTTTTACTGAATGACCCTTACTTGGCATATATTTAACATAGAAACTGGGTTTTCGCAGACGTCTTTGGGTTAGTCCAACGAGAAGGTGACGTGTTTGACGTGTTTTATAAATCAGACGGCTGAAAATGAACTACAATGTTACTATATCTCAATCATTTTAAAGTCATTTACGAAACTTATTTAATGAATTTATGCAGCCCTATTCCACAGTAATTTCCTCAACTACATACATTTACATCAAACTGTAAAAAAGAAACGATCTTGCCGCACTGAAAAGATCAAAGAACAGAAACAGTCCTTTAGTTCAGTGACATTACTGTCCTCAGGCTGTTTGCCTAAAGAGGCCAATACAGCTATTTGAACAATTTATAACCAACCTTAGAACTTACAGAGGAATGTCGGCAGGGAACGGCACTATCGGCAGCCTCTTTCTTAGTGTTTCCACCCAGCAGGTTCAGGTTCTGTAGGCTGCCTACGGAGATACGGCTAAGTGTTCCCATCGGCAGAGGGTAAGCCGTTCGCATGACTGTACTGGGAGGTTCTGGGGGGGAAATAGCAAAAGTCTGCAAACCTCGCATACAAGGATGCATTTTACAGGATATAATGAAAGATGTAATACGCGGGAGGATTGGTGCTAAAACCCGTGGAAAAGAAGAGGTAAGAGGATGCGGCAAGTCAACTCTTAAGAAGACCTCTAGATCAAGCTATATCAAGAACCTTCCCAGCAGCGACAGTTCAGGAAGATATTTTCAATCAATCTGGTCCTGCAGGAGGTAGGTAAGGTAGGTTACCAGCTCAGTCCACCACCCTGTGCATCTACTCATTTACTTGCCCTTGTAGAGCAGGGTATGTCATTTGCATGAGTTGGCACTTATTCAAAGGATTACTGGAGCCCCTCCCGGCATGGTTGAGCATAAGTGAAGTCAGGAGCATAAATGACACCATTCTTGGCCACATTGTTGATTCCGGGCATCGGTTGATTTATATTGTCTCACCAAACTAACCAAAGTCCATGGGTCAGCGTTTGTCAGCAACAGTAGAGTGACCGTCCTTAATTTAAGAAAGTGACCTTGTGTGCACGAAAGAACCTCCTGCAAGCACCGCGTTTGGCATGGCCTACAGTTTTCCCTTTCTTTGTTTTCCTTCCCGGCCCCTTA